GAATGAGACACGCGCAAAAAAAAAAAAAAAAAATACATCAACGCAATCGAAATGTGGTTTTTGAGAAAAATGCATAGAAAGACAAGATTCGCGATATGGAGAAAGCTGAACTGAGCCTAGACCAGAGACATGCCTCCTCTCAGCTAGGAAGGTCTCCAGAACTGGCGCCTAGGAAGCTGGGCAGTGTTGCCACTTTTCTTTGACAAAAAATATCCAAAACGATGTCAAAAAATATCTAAAAAGATCTAAATCTGCGTGGAAAAGATCTAGAAAAAAACAACCAAATTGAAAAAGTCAAAAATTACATAGCTTTTGTTATGACTTACTCTACACAATTATGTCCTCACCTTCACTGATGTCTGCCTCACAAGATCCACAGGATAAACTTAGCTTGGATAATGAAGTTGAAGCTTCAGCTCCAAAATGACCCTGGTATGCTTTAGCTGTTAAAATTTTTCTATAAGTGGAACAGCAGGCTTATTTCTCTAGTCTCATTAGGCCGAATTTTAATGGCACGATAGCATTTAAGAGGTCAAATTTCATCCTGTTTTTTAGGTTAGATTTGATATAATTCCTAGCACTGAAAACTCTTTCTACGTCAGCATTTGAGTGGGGTAGTATCATGGCAGACACGGCACTTTAAAGAGCTTACAGAATGGACTGTTTGATGAGGCATCTTTAAATTGTCTCACTTCACTCCAAAACGCTTTAGTTTCTGTTTTGTTTGTCCATTCAGCTAACTTTATTTTGGTTAACTGATATTCTGCTTCAGCGACACTATTATCAGTAGCCCCTAAAAATTTCAGAACTTTACAATATTTAGGTATGTCCTTTATTGGCTGAAGTATGTTGCTCACAGAAAAAAGTGAAATATTTTTCAAAACATCTAGATTTTCAGGAAGTCTCTCCTTAAATAATGAGATAAGGAAATCTTGACAGCGTTTTCTCAAGTTATTCTCTTCATTCTTTGTTAACAGTCCTTTTGTTTTTAAATCATCAAATTTTTTTCATCACTGTACATTCCATATAGTATTTCAGCTGTGTAGCACTTTTCACTTTGTCTTGTTATTTCAAAGTGTGTCTTCAACTTCAGCCATTGCTTCATAATTCTTTCAACAGCTGGTTAAATTGATAACCATCTAGTTTTGCAATCTGACAGAATTTTCGGTGGTGTGGAACTATCATTCAAGGCTGTAAATAATGTATTGTATTGCTGTTGTCTGACAAATGATTTGGAAAACCAGTAAAGTGTTTCAGCAATAAGGTATTCCAAATTCCTTGGTAAATATTTAGATGAAGCATGTGATAATGCTAGCTGCAATGAATGACGCATACATTTTATAAGTATTAACGATGGGTTAGCTTCCTTCAACTTGGCATAAACGCCATTGTTTATACCAACCATCACTGAGGCATTATCAGTACCAATTACAGCCAAATTCTTTAAGCCTAACTGTTTGCTGATTAAAAGGTCCTTCAGTTCCTAAACTATACTTTCTACACCACACTTTTCAAATTGAACTAGTCCAAGATTTTTTACAAATCGATCAAATGGTCACAGTTTGAAATTGCGCAGTGACAAATTAAAAGCAATGCGACTGATACTTCAACTTTTGATGAATCATTTATCAGTATAATTCTGAAAACAGATGTCAGCGGTGTAATATCTTTAAATGAAACTGCAGTTTTATGCTTTTTTAGTCTCTGCATGACTCTTTGAGTTTTGTATTTTCGCTTTAATTTCACGCTTGCAGTACTTACAACAAGCTTTGGTCATATCCCCAGTTTTTAATTTTGTCATCATGCAACCACTCTTTCCAAATTTGTTGCTCATACTTTACTTTTGCCATGTTGAAAGGTTTTTTTCAAAGTGAAAGCCACATATGAAGGTGAGCAATTATTTTTTTTTAAATCACATGAAAAAGAAACACAAAGTCAGCACAGTGAGGATACGGTTGAAACAAAGTTAGTATGATTTACGCGCGTTTTTATTAATCAGTACCCGGGCTGTCAGATATTTGTGCGTTGACCCCCAGTAAGAGTTCAAAGTTCAAGTAATGGCAGTTGTCAAAATGTACGTGCCAGACCAAAACAAAAATATTGTGGTAAATACTTTACACAGTAATTAATATATTGACAATGAAAGAAAAAAGTCTATAAAATATCTAACTCCATATGAAAAGTTTCTAGAAATATATTTACGATCTAAACGTCAAAAACAGTATCTAAATGCAATAAAAAAGATCTAAATTTGGATATAAAATATCCAAAGTGGCAACACTGAAGCTGGGGCAGTGTTGCCACTTCTGTTTGAAAACAAATATCCAAAACGGAGTCAAAAAATATCTAAATTTGAGTGGAAAACATCTAGAAAAAACATCAAAATGGAAAAAGTCACAAATTAAATAGCAATTGATATGACTTACCCTATAGAATCGTGTCCTCATCTTTACTGGAGTCTGCCTTACAAGATCCACAGGATAAACTTAGCTTGTATGATGAAGTTGAAGCTTCAGATCCAAAATGACTCTGGTTTGATTTAGCTGTTCCAATTTCTTTTAATTAATACACAGTCAGGGAGCTGATGAGTGGAACAGCCTTTTCCTACTCATATCAGCCCGAATTTTATTGCCAAGATAGCATTTAAGAGGTCAAATTTCATCCTGTTTCTTAGGTTAGATTTTATAATTTCACTCCAAATGAAAAACATCTAGAAAAACATCTAACATCTAAACGTCAAAAACGCCATCTAAATGCAATTAATCAAGTAACAGAAAATCTGGATGTAAAACATCCAAAGTGGCAACACTGACTGCTGGGGCTGTGCATTAAATGAAAAAGATAGCACAACTTGTCAAGAGCTGACGCATCATGGGGTTCACACCTGGAGCCCCGTTTTGGAGAGAAAAAGGGGGGGGGGGGGAGACAAGTAAAAACCCGCTGTATCCCTAAAAAAAAATCACGTTGTAAAAGCTACTAATTCAGGATTTTTCATCCAAAGTCGGAAAGCATCTACCTAAGCTGCAAGGAACCAATAATCTGCACACAAGTGATCCAAACCTGTAAAACAGATGTACACGCAAAATTTAGGTTCTGGAACAAGATTTTAGTCTAAAAGTGGACGAACAACCAGAAATTTCCTCTCAAATTTGTTAGGTACTAGAACCCACAGGGTCAACGGAATAAAGGCAGACCAAAATAACAACACAAAGGAAACTAGAGAGAACGGTTGAACAAGATGGATACGACACGGGATGAGCATCACATGATAGCAAAGAATAATGATGATCACGCACCCTAAAAGAAAGGATAGAAGGAAAATGAAGAATCGGCATTCAATAGTTCCCCACCTTCAGACCTACTGAGAACGTAGGTCTGTACCTACATTTTGTAGCCAGTCCTCACTCCATGAGTGAGTGATATGATCAACGTCCATCCAGCCGCCTTTACTTTCAAAGACTTTACCTGGTACATATTTAAGGCTAGTTTGACCCGGGCGTTGAAGTCATTTCTCAAAAAGGCCCAGCTCCCTTTGGATTTAAACCCACGACTTTTGGCTACGCAGGGGAGCGTAAGTAGAGATATTCTGTTGTTTATGAATCGGCAACACTCAAAAGAACGTCAGGTCAAAAGGGTGTCGCCCGTTATGAACACTATACAGGTAGCCAAAGAAGAATAGTAATCCAACACTCGCTTACGTACTGGACACTGCAGACTCAATAAACACTCATATAAATTAGGTATGAGCCAAACAGCTCTCTGCCAGTGCCTTAGTGCCGAACTAACTCCAGAACATGTCCTGCAAGACTGTCCTCTCCTGGCGGAGCTGCGGATCGACATATGGCAACACCCAGTAGAACTGTCAACTAAGTTTTGGGGAAACCTAAGAGATCTTGAAAAGACTTTCCAGTTTATGGCCCATAGTGGATTATGCGCATGACCAGAGATCGCTGAAGAAGAAGTAATCCAACACAGAACTGGTGTTATCAGTCGTCCCACTCTGAGGGATATACTGAAGATGGGATCCGAGTGCTCATGGACTTGTTCGCTGTGCAATTAGGATAATCTGTGGATAAAAAAACTAACAGTAACTAACTATTCTGTTTACTATTACCTAACTAACTAAAATTTATCACCCCTGGTCTCTGGTAGTAAGACTGGACGTCCGTACGTATTACGTTATAGGTTAGCAGTTGAACATCGAAAAAGAGTAGCCCAACGGCGCTGCCTAGGCACAATTTTGAGCTAAAAATCTACGCAAACTATTTTAGTATCCTCGCCGGTGCAACGGAGTTCGTGCACTGCGCTGAGATTCGTCAGGCTCAGACTTGAGTTAGAAGCAGGAGGGAGCACTTAGGGATTACACCCGTGTGCCATGATGTTGGTCGGTTGAATAAACTAGCAAACAAATAAACTGTTAGGCTATTCTCCGAATAACGAGCACAATAGATGGCGGCCGCAAAAACATCCTAACAGAGCCTTAGTCACGTGTCATTTGCGGTCACGAGCACATCACGGCAAAACTAGGATTACGTGTCATTTGCGCACTTGCGGCGACTTTATTTGCGGTTTTCCGGCGACTACCGCCACCGCTGAAAGTCCCCAACGCCGCTCACGCGGCGTGGATTGGGGCTAAAATAGATGGCTAGGACTCACGAGCAAAGCTGCAGGAGATACGGAAGCTGCTGCTCGTGAGTCCTAGCCATCTAGTCGAGCCCCAATCCACGGAGCGGCGTGGGGGACTCTTGGCGGTGGCGGTAGTCGCCGGAAGGGCGCAACTGACATATGACTGAGGCTCTGTTAGGATGTTTTTGCGGCCGCCATCTTTTTTCCACGTTATTCGGAGGATAGCCAACTATTCTGTTGTTTTTTATCAGTGTGCGAAACGTCACAGCGATGACTTCCGATATTTCTACGTCAACTGTTGCAGTGGTCCCGACAACAAGTTCCGGTCCTACTGTGAAGACATCTATACTGCGCCGCCCGAGAATGATGGATAAGTGGATACAATAAATGGGATGTCTGATGGATAAGTGGATACAATAAATGGGATGATTATGCAAATATTGTTAACTGTGTAGATTAATTGTTTGTAATCTCTGTCTAAATCTTCTTCTCCTTCTCTTCGACCATATACCCCAGCGAGGTGTTGGGGGAGATGTAAGGATCATTTGTGCACTTTTCTCAATACATTGTACAAGTTGGTGTTTATTTCTGTCAGGTTGCTCCTGATGGTGTCACTCCATCTCTTGCATGGTCTTCCCCTTGCTCTGTGTTCATTATATTACTTAAGCGTGGCTCTCTGTGGCAGTTGGTACCAGGACATTCTCATCAGGTGGCCAAACCATTTAATTTGTTGTTCTCTAATGATCTGTATGATTGTATTGTATGTCATCAGTAAGTGATTTATCATAATTATCATCACATTATTCATCATCATTACCCAAACAATTAGCATCCATATCATTACCTACATCACCACCAAAAACATCACTCACTCACAATATTGTAACTGCATCATCAATAATGATCCCCATAATCATCATCATCCACAACACCATCACCCACATGCCATGATGTCAATTGTCCATCATCTTCTCTCTTGGTCTGCCTCTGCCCCTCTTCCCCTTCAGCTTTCCCCACTGTCAAATGTACTCCAGTTTTTCTCCTTGTCATGGCTGTTTTAGCTATACAGCTCGAAATACACAAGCTCTCAAGCACCTATACCACTCTACAAAGTGTTACCTTCTTCTTCTTCACTTCCTCTTTTACCGCTGTGGGTGTCGAGGGAGATATAAGGTTCTGTTTCTAGCTCTTCTGGCTGCCTCGACCATAGGCACATCGTGCTGTTGTAGAGTTTCTCTGATGTTATCCTTCCATATTGTTCTTGGTCTACCCCGTGCTCTACGTCCTTCTTCTCTTTCCATGTATGCTTTGTATGGTATGGTGTCACAAGGCATTCTCTCTAAGTGGGCAAACCATTTCACTTGCTGTCTTTGTATGTAATCCAGAATTGGTTCTGTGCCGACTTGTTCTCTTATGATCTCATTCCTGATCTTATCTCTTATGGTCACTCCTACAGCCCTTCTCAGACATCTCATTTCCGTGGTTACTAATTTTCTTTTATGGTTTGTTGTGAGTGACCATGTTTGGCACTGGTAGCACAGAGTTGGAATAAATATGCTTTGAATAAGATGTCTCTTTGTGCTGATTGGGATTGTCTTATGCTGTAAGAGGGGGGCTAGCTGTCCCAATACTTGGTTTGCTTTACTGCATCTAATGTCAATTTCTTTATCCAATTTCCTATCTTCGGTAAATGTAGTTACCAGATATTTAAACTCAGATGCCTGTTTAATGCCTTTGTATTCTATTGCTATGTTTAGATCTGTCTTCTTTTTTCCTATTGACATTACTTCTGTCTTTTCAGTGTTGAATCTCATATTATTTGTTTTACATTCTTCATTCATGGATGTTAGATGCTGTTGCAATTTCATGGCTGTATCTGCTATCAAGGCCTGGTCATCTGCAAAGAGTAATTCGTTGATCTTACTAAGATCTTTATTCATGGGCTTGGCATTCTTGCATATACTGTCGATGTAGGTGATAAACAGCAGTGGTAAGACACACCCCTGTCTTACTCCAGATGTCACTGTGAAAGGATGAGATGTTCCCTGATTTATTCTAACTACACTTCTACAATCCCTGTATAAACTTTTGCACACTTCGATGAGGTGTTCGCTTATTCCATATCTTGCCATTATTGTCCATAATAATTGTCTGTCGACTCTGTCAAATGCCTTCTCCTGGTCTACGAAAGCCACAAATAAGTTCTTATTGTATTCAATGTTCTTTTCTATTAACTGTTTAAGTGTGAAGATTGCATCTGTGCAGCTTCTATTTCTCCTAAATCCCATCTGTTCTTCTGCCAGCTGTGGTTCCATCACTGGTCTCAGTCTTGTTTCTATTATCCTGGCATACATTTTGCCAACATGACTTAAAAGAGAGATGCCTCGATATTGACCGCATTCTCGTTTGCTTCCTTTGTTCTTCCACAATGGTAAAAAAGTGTTACCTACAGACAGTAAATACAGACAGTTAAAACATACAGTAAATACAAACTGTAAATACAGACAGTACATACAGACAGTGAATACAGACAGTAAATACAGACAGTAAATACAAACAGTGAATACAGATAGTGAATACAGACAGTAAAAACAAACAGTAAATACAGACAGTAAATACAAACAGTAAATACAGACAGTAAATACAGACAGTAAATACAGACAGTGAATACAGACAGTAAATACAGACAGTGTCACAGAAGCCAGCTCAGGCCTCAGAAATAAAAGAAATAAAAGGTGGTCCAAGTGACAAGAAAGGATATAGTTCACAACCAGACAATATGTTAGGATCTTGAAACCCAGGCCTTACAGACTCAAGTGGAACAGTCACAGTTACGATGGTTTGGTCATGTAGTCATTTGGGGAGAGAATCGGCCATAATGGCAAGCATGGGAGGCCAAGAACCGGGGAATCAGACCCCCGGGGCAACACAAAAACAAAACTTAACAGTCCCTGACTGATAATGGACACAAATGAAAATGACACGAATTTAGGGGGCCGCGTTAGCGCAGTCGCTAAGAAGCTCGCTTTCAAATCCAGCTGCAACTCGCCGCAGCCCACAGTAAACCGGGCAGCTTCCAGCGTTCACCCAGCCTCTAGCAAATGGGTACCAGAGTTGACACTCTGGGGTAAATGGAGGAACATCGCTGTAGCTACAGAGTTGCGTGCGGACAGCAACATAGGCGGACAATTCTTATCAGCTCTCCGTACTGGTGGCAGAGAACTTATGGTCTGTAACCGTGTGCAATGATGCTGGTTCGCATCTCCCGACTTGACCTTTTACGAATGAAAAAAAAAGTTATAAAAACAATTGTTGATAAAGAAGTCTGGCGATCTCTCTGGCAAATCTCTACACCCCAAGGTAGAAGAGGAACAACTAAGTAAGTAGGTAAGCAACAAATGCACACAAACACTTACAGATAATGTATACTTTATTAAGTGACATATGTGTGGAACACAGTTCCCTTGCACTTGACACAGAAGAGGAGGAAAAAAATCACATCTCTGAATGCAGCATAACAACACACCACAAACATCCAGGGCATGAAAGCTGTATTCACTCATGCATGAAATGCTGCAAATGGCAGAGGTAACAGCAGTAGAGATTTGTGAAAAGCTGACCCGGAAAAAATAACAAACATATCATTGCAGATTTTATAATAAAAGAATTCATCAGAGAAGGCGTTAAAAATGTAGAGAATGTGACAATATACAAGTAGTTTAAGAGACTTCACTCTAAATGAATAACTGTAGTTGTCAATTTAAATTCCTTTTTATCGAAGAAGAATATTTCAAAGATAAGCTGGGGTTACACATTTCCATTGAACTGCAGGTTAAACAGATAGGCATGGGTTACACCCCCCCCCCACCCCTGAACTGCATGTTAAACAGATAAGCATGAGTTACACACCCCCACTGAACAACCGCAGGTTACTTCATAACTGAATGGATACCCAAACAAACACCACCAAGCTAAGGTGTTCATCGTTCACCACCACCAAGCTAAGGTGTTCATCATTCACCTTCACTACCACCAAGCTAAGGTGTTCATCATTCACCTTCACTACCACCAAGCTAAGGTGTTCATCATTCACCTTCACTACCACAAAGCTAAGGTGTTCCTCATTCACCTTCACCACCACCAAGCTAAGGTGTTCCTTGTTCACCTTCACCACCACCAAGCTAAGGTGTTCCAGGTTCACCTTCACCACCACCAAGCTAAGGTGTTCCTCATTCACCTTCACCATCAACAAGCAAAGGTGTTCCTTATTCACCTTCACCACCACCAAGCTAAGGTGTTCATCATTCACCACCACCAAGCTAAGGTGTTCATCATTCACCACCACCGAGCTAAGGTGTTCATCATTCACCACCACCACCACCACCAAGCTAAGGTGTTCATCATTCACCACCACCACCAAGCTAAGGTGTTCATCATTCACCGCCACCACCAAGCTAAGGTGTTCATCATTCACCACCACCAAGCTAAGGAGTTCATCATTCACCACCACCAAGCTAAGGTGTTCATCATTCACCACCACCACCAAGCTAAGGTGTTCATCATTCACGTTCACCACCACCAAGCTAAGGTGTTCATCATTCACCACCACCAAGCTAAGGTGTTCATCATTCACCACCACCACCAAGCTAAGGTGTTCATCATTCACCACCACCAAGCTAAGGTGTTCATCATTCACCACCACCAAGCTAAGGTGTTCATCATTCACCACCACCACCAAGCTAAGGTGTTCATCATTCACCACCACCAAGCTAAGGTGTTCATCATTCACCACCACCAAGCTAAGGTGTTCATCATTCACCACCACCAAGCTAAGGTGTTCATCATTCACCACCACCACCAAGCTAAGGTGTTCATCATTCACCACCACCAAGCTAAGGTGTTCATCATTCACCACCACCACCAAGCTAAGGTGTTCATCATTCACCACCACCAAGCTAAGGTGTTCATCATTCACCACCACCAAGCTAAGGTGTTCATCATTCACCACCACCAAGCTAAGGTGTTCATCATTCACCACCACCAAGCTAAGGTGTTCATCATTCACCACCACCAAGCTAAGGTGTTCATCATTCACCACCACCAAGCTAAGGTGTTCATCATTCACCACCACCAAGCTAAGGTGTTCATCATTCACCACCACCAAGCTAAGGTGTTCATCATTCACCACCACCACCAAGCTAAGGTGTTCATCATTCACCACCACCAAGCTAAGGTGTTCATCATTCACCACCACAAAGCTAAGGTGTTCATCATTCACCACCACCAAGCTAAGGTGTTCATCATTCACCACCACCAAGCTAAGGTGTTCATCATTCACAACCACCACCACCAAGCTAAGGTGTTCATCATTCAC